TAATCGTAAGTTTATAGCGATTAATAAGATATACGCGTTATTAATAAAAGAAGCTTACGTAATCGATAACGCTAAGATATCGATAGTTCTTTATTAATAATATTAAGTCTAACTATAAAGATAAAGAGTAGATATCTATTTAGATAATAGTATTTAATCCCTAAATATTAATAACGACTTATTCTTTTCTTAAATCGTCGGATATAATTCTATAGATAACGAAAATCGAGAAGTTAAAAGGCGTTACTTCGGTAATCTAATCTAGCCTTTCTTACTCGTAAAGTTTATTAAATATTTTATCAACGACGTCTTTAAATTCGATGCTAAGAGAATAAACTCTCGCTATTCTACTAACATTCTTTTTTAATTAGATTTTAGTGAAATATATATTTATTCTTACTTCGGTAAATCGGCGAAGTCGCCTTTTTATTAAAGCGTTAGAAATTCCTTAACTACTCTCTTAATAAAAGAACTATTATTATAAATCGTAATCTTATTTAGTAAGATTATATCCGTAATCGTAATAATAACTATTACTTCCGAAATTGAATAAAAGAAAGTTACGAAAGTAGGAATTTTAAGAATCTCGAAAATTTTAGAGTTTCTCGAAAGATTAGAATCTCTAGAAATACTAAGAAATTCTATAGGGGATTCGATAATAGATATTAAGTTAGAAGTCGCTACTTTTATTAATAATAACGTTATAAAATAGACGATTATTAGTATAGCAATAACGGATATTATAATAATCTTATTAAAAACGCGTTTAATCTAGCTCTTCTAATATTTATTCTTAGATCGACGATTAGCAAGTTTAACGACGTCTTTTTTCCCGAATATAATATAATAGCAATTATTAAATTCGGCTTTTTATATAGTATTTAAGCGAAGATTTCTAGATATCTTAATTAATCGGTTTAAGTTATTCTTAGCTAATATCGTAGTTATAGAAAAGTTAACGAGATAAATATAAAGCGTTAAGTCTATATAATTCGATTTAAAGAAAAAATTATATTCTAATAAAGAAGTATAATATATCGATATTTGTATCTAAGAATATAGGGGAATAATAATAGATTTCTTAATATATACGGGATATATTACGGCACGATTTTCTCTAGTACGAACTTCTATCGATACGAATATCTAATAGCTATTAATTAACGCCCTCGATTAAGATATAAGAATATCGATTTCTTTAGATATTATAATATCTATATCGACTAGAATATTTGCTTTAAGCTCGTCGATAATATAGATTTCCCTCGGCGACGTTATAGCTATAGCGTCTTTATTAGAAAAGTAGAGAGATGTAATTATATATTTCGAAGTTTTATATCTATTAAATCTTAAACTTCTTATTATAATAGGGCTAGCTATATTCTTAATTAGTAAATTTGAAAATATCTTATTTAGATAGGCTTAGTCTATTAAGGTAACGAAGTAATCTATATTTAAGTAATTCTTTTTAGCTTTTTTATCGAGTAACAGCTTAATAGTAGCTCTTACGTAGTGATAGTTACGGAAAGTATAGTCGATATTAACCTTAGAAGTAGAGTTAGTTAACGACTTAATAACTTTTCTAGTAAAATCTTATTCTTTAAAATTAAACTCGCGAGGTTCTCTAGTAAAAGGTTCCTCGATAAAAGAATAAGAATTTCTAGACGATTCCTCGATAGAAGGATATACCTCGACTATAAAAGAAATTTTCGAGCGTTTTTTAGATGAAAAGCCTGGGTATAAGAAAGGTTTAGAATAACAATCTCGATCTAGATTATCGAGATAGCGGTAAAGTTTATTACTAGAGAAGAAAATCTCATAATAATAGTAATATTAATAGCGAGACGCTAGAATAAGAATAATCCTAGCTACATTAGCGGGATACTCTATAGCTTCTACGAAGTATTTATCTATTTCATCTTTCTAGTAAAGTTAATAATAATCTAAATTCTCGTTAGTATAGTAGTTACTAGGCTCGCTTAAGTCTTAATAAACATTCTTATTCTAAGAAGTAGATTTAGATTCGATATCCTCGTAAGAAGATAATAATAATTCTTTCTTACTAATTTAGTATACCGTCCTCTATAATCGTAGTAATCTATTTTAATTACGATTAAAGAATCCGACATTTAGTCTATTTACTTATCTTTCAGATTTATTATCTTTATAGCGAGGATTCTACTAGCTTAATAATACCTAAAAATCGAATAAATTAATATTTCTTTCTATAATTTATAAAGGTTATCGAGGAGTCGATAAGATAGAATTTAATTATCGTTATTAATAGAACTAATTAAGCTAATTAATAAAGTTATTTTTATAATTATTATACCTCGATGAGAATTCTTAATAGAACTACTATTAAGAGTATAGGAAAGAAGAAAAAGATAATTTTAAAAATCTATTCTAATAAAAGTTATTGTTTATATACTAATTAGACTATTTAAGTAGCGTTAACGCTTTCTTATTAATATACTACGAAAAATCACGATTTTACTATACTATTTCAAATTAAATACTCGATTTAACGTCGACTTAATCTAGAAATTAATCTAGAGTTATCAACGATATTAGCTTGAGAATATCTCGTCGAAATTCTAGTAAAAGGTTATTTTAGATTATAGTTAGCTGATTATAGACGAAGATAAACTTAATAACTTTCGTATATTTTAAGATACTCTAAATATAAGAACGCGTCGACTTATTATTTCTGATATTACTTATAATATAGCGTTTAATTTAAAGATATTAAACTACTATAAAAGCTCTTTCCTTAAATCTCTTTATTAAGAATTCGAATTAAGCTTCTAACGAGACTATTCTTAATAGTATCTTTTTAAACTTCGTAAGCTCGATAAAGTATTAGATTAAGACCTTACCGCGGAAACACGTTAATAGAATTTCTTAAATCTTTTTATAGCCCTTAATAGTAGCGATATTCTTAAGTTAATTTATAAAGGTATAGATATTCTTATAGAAAGTATATCGACCTATATTAATAATAGATCTTTCTTCTTTAAAGGTAGAATTAAAGAAATCGATATCGTTAGCTTTTAGATGTAATAAGCTACCTCCGTTTTTTATAGCATTATTTCCTAGAAGACTAGAATCGTCTAGTGAACTTGATGGCTTAAGCTAAGAAGTAATATTTCGAAGTAATCCTTACAGTGTAGTTTATTATTACTAAGAGAATTCGGACTCTCTCTAAGATTAATCTTTTTAAGAAGATATTTCGAGTTCGATAGCTTAAGTGTAAATAGCCTCCTCCGCAGATATGGCTCTAGTGGTGAATCTAGTGCTTTCGAAGTTTAATTTAAAAAGGGTAGTCATAGAGGAAGTATATAAAGTGATATCAGTGGACGGAGGATTCTTAAGTCGATGAAATATTAGAATATCTCTTTCGAAGGTGCTAAGAACGTCTTAAAGAGTAGACTTATCGATAGCCTAGTTATGCGGCTAGCTTAGTACTTCTATAGACTATAATCATACTTTAATATATTTATTCCTCGCGAAGGTACCTCGACTAATTTAAGAAGGTTTAAAGTTATTTCTTACGATTTAAGTAATTAGATAACGAGTATTCTTATTAAAAAGACTTATAAAAGAGTAATTGCTTTCGAGAAATTCCGAAAGCTAAAATATAAGAATTATTATATCTCTGAAAATAGGATTTATTATAGAGATTAAGGATTTTAAAAAAACTATCGTAAAGATTAATTGACGATGTCGACGATTGTGAAAGTAGATAAAGAAGTAAAAATTGAATGAGTTAAGATTTAAATTTCTTAAGGGAAAGCTTTTTTCTTAGAAGAGGTTTCTTTCTTAAGAAAGAAGGTATAGCGAGATTATTAATCTAGAAGGAACTTCTTAGTAAATGATAAAAGCTCGACGATTTTAGCATAAAGTAGACTAACGATATCGTCAAATAGGCAATCAAAGAAGTTCTTAGAAAAGGAAGATTATAAGAAAAGAAAGTAGCTGTTTCGAAAGTATATATAACGAAGCTATTCTTATAGCGTAGCGGAAGACTTTATCGAAGAATTGTGGTGCTTTCTAATTAATACTTATTAGAAAATAATAGACTTAATTATCAAATCTCTTAGTATTTATCAAACAAAGGAATAATACTAATAAGACGATTTCGGTATTATTATCATTTGCTAGAAGCAATGATTTGATTAATATAATATGACTTAATTAATTATATTAATAAAGAAACTACTTTCTAAGTAAGTAATTCCTTACCAAGCCTTACTTAGCGAAAGCCCTTACTAGAAGAAAGGCCTTTCTTGGCAATCCCTAACAATCTAGAAGCTCACTGCTGGCTCATCAGATTCAAGTTGACGCTATGATGGTGATCATGTCGCGCATTTTGTTTTCAACCTCTGTTCTTGCATAAGGCCAAGCCCGAAGACGATGCAGTCGACACCAAACCATGATACAAGAATCGGAAGTTGAGGACGTAGTACGCTAAAAACCGAAGGCCTTGTCCTGTAATGAGGCCTTGCGAATGTAAGTTATAGCCTTCAAGGTATTCTATCTGGGTGACGGTCGTGCAGGATGTAAATTGAGGTGCTAAGATCCTCCTGAGACAAGCTTTCGCCGAGAGCGAGTATAGAAACGTGCGGTCAGATAGAGTATCAGATGCGGGTCGTGTAAATGAGCCATCAATGCTATGTGGCGTACTGCAGTCCACGGCGTCTAAACATACTTTTCGTGATAGTCATATACTCGAGCGAAGTGATAAGGGCCTGCTTATGCGCCAAAGTGGTCAGTATGGGTTGAAAAGTAATGCGAGTCCAAAGATCGAAGACCTTGTTGCTCACCTCCAACCAGATACATCTGCTTCACAGCATGAAACATCATTGACAATTATTTTCATTTCGCATACGCTCCTCACCCCTCATGAGACGCTAAGAGATATCTAGACCCAGATTCATATCGACTTTAGTATTGATGTCATAGTGAGACTCGAAAGAAGCATGCATTTGTATCAATGATTATACCTTGTGACGTGAAAATGGAGAACTATTTTGGGTCGCAAACATAGCATCGCCATTTCCCACATTGTGCTGATTCTGATATTTAAGGAGGGTTGATACAAGAGGGGTTGCATTCGTGAGGCTCAAGATGGGAGTAGCCTGCCGTTGATTGCCCCCATCGCACCATTTGGGGTTGTCGAGTTCGACTCGAGAGGGTTGGAGGATGTCCAGGAAGTATAAGGTTTGGTTGTGGTCGGAACCGATCGTTGCCGCCATTCCTCGTGAACCTCCGAGTAGTATTCCCACAAGAGTCTTGCATTTTCGTGGTTGCATGCCTTTCGGACACCCCATAATCGCCCCGAGGTAGTAAATGGTTCCGGTAAGACTTGTATGATTTGGGACAGCCCAGGGGCGTCCGGACTGTTCCATGTGCGAAGCCGAAGAAGTCATCATGCCATGATCAGCGGTCGAAATTCCGCTCGAATCGAAAAGTATCGGCGCAATAGTCTGAGTCACTGGGCTTTGCTGAGGGGTGGCTATACCATGGTGCGATACTCCGGTGGCATGGGCGGTCTCAGCTTCCCAGCAATGGCTACAATCATATGTGCTGTCACTGAAAGCTGCTTAGGCGGGAGCGTCTGCTGGCTCGTTGCTCATTTTAAGTCTAAAATGTATGCTTCTGATCACAGACGAGTCTCAGACGAACAGAGAGTTCATCAAGCCAGAAGAATCTGCCGGTATGCGTTGTCACGACTCGTCCACTCCAGGCTATAGCAGTAAGCCTCGAATCGCGTTGAGTTGCCAATTGCGAACATGCTGAAAGAGTCTGTAGTGAGCAGTCTCGACATAATTCAATTGCTCGATGAGGGAGTGAGAATGAGAAACGCAGGAATCGCAAGGGAAATGGTTTTCGTTGGCGTTGTCTTTTCCATAATGGGAAAATCCAGCATCGCGAGAAACGTGATGGGTCCAGAATCTTGGCCTCCCGTCATCCCTGCCATCTCGAAACACTTAATCTACCAATATATAGAAATTCCACGGAATTCAGGAACGACATAACTCATCCACCCTGATTGTTTTAACAAGATGAATGATCAGATGAGATTTCTTCGTATAACTTCGCACGTCCAGTGAGTTATCGACACATGGAAGCGCTTTATGGGTGTCGCAGTGACTTGTGTTGGGATCTCGAAAGCTATAGAACGCGCACTTCGCATAGTCTGCTATAGACGTTACAGGCTCTTTTGGCTTGCGCCGAGATGACCCTTACAAGGGCTCGACTCGGTAGAGGAACGTATCAAGCTCTTGCGCAATTGAGTAAATATTATATATGAGCAATTGACCTGCAGCGTAGATGAAATCCGAATATGGATCTTCCAAATCTAGAGACAATCCTAGCCGATAAACATCATCACAGAGTTCGCGATAGGTCTTGTCCGATTTCCCAAGAGCATTGATGATTGGTTGATAAGTGAGGGCGAATGTTGTCGTATAATAATATCTACTTGTTGCTGTGGTCCCAAATTTTCCTCGAGTGCTTCGTGAGATGTATAGAACACGTCTGATAATGGATAAGATCGTCGTCGCATAGAAAACGTCCAGGAGCGTCGCCGGCTTCAATGGCTGAGCCATCCTCCCTGCAGTATCTTCCAAGGCCTTACGAAAGACATGATATCGTTCATGGCTATGGGACGGGGCAGGATCCCAGTGGCTGTCATGATTGCAAGCCAATGCGGTATGCCGCTTGTCGTCCTCACAGCACTCCATCAGACATATCCTCAGGCAGTCAAGACCTTCTTGGGCCATTTTTTCCTGTCGGTAATGTAAGCTCATGGACAAAGCGACCACTATTCTCCATGACGGGATACCTTCAGTCCACAAATTTTACTAAAGAAAAACGCCGCTCTAGCAACCTCCACGGCGGCCGGGACCAAATCCAGCCGGCAAAGGTATTTGAGGTTTTTCTCTAGAATGAGAAGCTCCTCCAAAGAGAGAAGAACATCATTTTGGGTTTTGATGGCTTCTCCTCCAGCGTCTGAATTCCCAAGTACCGGGTTGGCAGCCCTGATTTCCAAACTTAGTTTTTCAATCTCTCCAAAAATCATCCTGGAGCTTACACCGGAAGTTCAGAGCCAGATGGCGGTGGCTCAGGCTGATCGCGAATTATAGAATCAAGAGGCGTTGTCTGACTGGAATGAAATAAGCGGTTTTGCACATCTCCCACTCAGACGAAACACCCACAGCCTTGGCCTCCCTCCGATGCTTTTTTCCAAGGTCAATGACATTTTATCGTTCTTGATGTGGGTCAAGACATGCTGCATCAGAAGTTCAGCAAGACTTCCTTCAGCTTCTTGTGGTGCAGGGACAAATTACCTTTCTCAAAGCCGAAGCCGGTTTGTAGTCCTTGGTCGACGTGCAGAAACCACACTTAGATTCACATTTGGAGATGGATAAGGTGCCTGATCGCGGCCAGTCATGGGTGTGAGAAGGGATGCGGCAAGGCATCTCGACTGCACTCGGGAGAACAGTTGAAGATATGCGAGAATTGGAAGGAATCGCGTCGCACAGAATATCAGGCCCGCTCTAATCTCACGAAGCAGAGAAGAAATTGGAGAAGCTCTCCTAGGATCTTAAAGGGTGATCGTGAGTTGGCCTGATCACGGCTTGCAGATCACTGCGATGGTGCTTGAGAACGCTGGAGACCAAAAACTAGTTTTTACCCGACTTCCTTCCATCTGTGGTGCTTGAGAACGCTCGAGAGTGAAAACTAGTTTTCAATCGGTTTTCTTCCCTGCGGACGCCCACCATGCATTAGCGTAAATTCATTTGGGGTGCCTGAGAACGCTGGAGAGCAAAAACTAGTTTTTACCCGACTTTCATTCGTATCCATCTGTGGTGCTTGAGAACGCTTGAGAGTAAAACCTAGTTTTCAACCGGTTTTCTTCCCTGCGGCCGCTGGCAGTGCATTAGCGCAGATCCATCTACTAAGCACTCTAGAGTGTTTGGGTGAACTTCGACTGCAGTGCAGCCTTGGCACTGCAGCCTTATGCCCGTACTAGTATGCGCGGTTCACATGAAAGAAGAACTCTTCTGCTGCTGTATCTGGCGGATGCGATGGTGATCCTTACAAGCTGGCAAGTACCGGGATAAAACTAATTTTTCGAGTCCATGAGAGCATACGTGGGCGAGATTGAGGCTTACCTGGTCGGACACCGTCCAGTCATAGGTCCAGTTGCCGTCCGAGTAGAGGTATCGCAACTAGTTTTCGGATACCATTGAGTATATATACCATCTCAAATATCTTCCTTAATCGAAACCATCGGTTCGTCCGTTCCAGCCTTCTTTACAGTCACAACAAGCTTGGTCACTCGGCCAACTTTCCATCCCGCTCAGAATCCAAACCCATATCCTGCCGTGTATACAGAGAGAGTACGGCAGCAGCAAGCACCATGATATTCCCCATCGTCAACGGGATGCTGGCCCAAAAAACAACACAGCTACACGGAGCACTAGCCAGACGCAACACTTCTTTCTCCACAGCAACTCCTTTTCCATTCCCGACCAAGTCTCAATGGAGCCCCGGCGACATCAGTACTCTCGTCTTCGGCTGCATTGCTTCAGTCCTTGGAGTGCTTACCCTTTGGGCGACATTTTGGCTAGGTCGTCGACGCGCTTTGCGTGTGGTTGGAAACGGTATGTACTTCGACGGGAAACGTGACGAACTTACTAACCGTATTGCCGATAGACGAATGCCGTGAGTTTGGGGCCACGTTCGACAGCGATCCATCTCTCGAGCACGTCGTCCTTGAGCGAGGCCCATAGATTGTAGACTTCACAGATAACACGGAAGCGTCATGCAACCCTCAATGTGGTGAAGTTGGCAGCAGATGGATTATTTCTCAGGTGGTGTAGCATTAGAAACCCAATTTCCGCTCGCAATGCGGAAGGGCACGAATGATAGAGGCACAACGGAGGGGCAAATAGAGACCGGACTTGTTGCTTGAAATATGTAGCTACCTTATCAAGTGCAATCGGCCATGAATCTCCGCCGTGCTCATAGACTAACATCTTTTGTATTAGTTCGTTTTCTAAGTTCACACCATCCACAATAAGTAAGTCCACCGAACCCTCGAGGGTTTCATCTGTAAGCACAGCCACAACTGTCGGACAGCCACAACTGTCTGACAGCCACAACCGTCCGGCTAATCAGCCACAGCCGTCCGGTTGAGAATCTAGTTGAGCGAAGATTAGCCTGCAATTCAGCCACAGGGATTACTCGTAGATACGGGGGAAACTCCGGAAATGCCACCTACTCACCAGAAGTGTCCGCCCGGCATGACGGTCCCATGCATCTGGGCTCAATGCGGCCATCACTTGCCTTGTTTTTTGATGTAGCAGACTATCTTCAGCCACAGAGTCTAACATGCTGAGAGCTCGAGGCAAAATACGTCGCACAGCCAGTAAATCGCTCGGAGCGCGTGATCAGGCTACCGCAATGCCAGTATTAAAGTGGCCCGATAGTCCCACTCTTCGTGCTCCTCATCTCACTCTTTTCACACCCTAAATCAGATACGATCAAAAGAGGTGTTTCGAACCGCATCGATATCAACATGACCTACAAACAGCACACCATGTTCTTACTCTTCTGTCTCGTCGGATTGGGTCTCGCCCTACCTTTTCCTCCTTCCTCTCAAGCAAATCTCACCACCTCGACTTCAGCTTCCCTATTCTCCTCTTCCTATATTCAGACAGCCGGCACTGCGGCACCATCAGTCAGCCTAGCTCCGAGTCATCTATCAGCAGCTACCAAGTCAATCGCTACCAATCATACCATACCCTCACAACCAGCATTTCCCACACTAGGTCCGCCTCAATGGAGCGCTGGAGACATTAGCACTATTGTGTTTGGTTGCATCGCTTCGATCCTCGGAGTCCTCGCTTTGTGTCTGACGCTTTGGCTTCGTCGACGGGGTCCTGGATATTTGACAAGATATGGTATGTATTCTATGCTGGGCTTGAACTCCAGTGCTTCGCTGATTATCTTCTCGCCACAGACGTTGAAACCGGCATTGGCGTAGCACGCGATGATAGCGACCTGCCACTCGAAGACCTCGCGCGGGACACCGGCACCGACAGCGAAGTCGCCGCAACATAAAGACATCAAAGGGTCCCGGAGACATTTATGGACGAGGGGGGAAGAAGAGGATAGTGGCGTCTTTTGAATATCGGAGATGGATGCAGAAATCCTTCATCGAAGGAAGAAGAGACACCCAAACCGGGAAAATGAAGGTGATAGTAAATATGTAGCCCAACTAGCTTCCAGCACCACCATCGTTCGTGATATACGTCATAATGCGCTGCATAAAAATGCCAGCCAAACTTCTTCCGGAAGTAAGAATCAAACCCTGCCTCAAATTCGAAAGTTACTCGTAATCTTTGATCGAATCGCAGACTCTGCATTCAGATTTGCATTTGGACATCAACAAGGCGTCCGATCACGGTCACTCATGTGCGCGGAAAAGACTGTGACACGGTATCTGACCACGCTTCAAAAGCGCGATCAAATTGATGTTGCAAGATACATTGCGAAAAGAAACCGTGGGTGTTTTGCAGAGCGGACAACCCGGGCGCGCAAAGTGCTATGACGCAGCTATGAGCACTGCCATTGAGACGGCCAGTCAGAGCCTCACCGCTTCCTTAAGCTGATCATGGCTTACGACGTGCCATGGTTACTATCAGGATCATGATGAGACAACTGAGACACCTGAGACAATTGCATGTGTTGGTTGCAGGAGGAAGAAATAAACGTGGTCTCACCACTTAGATCGCTCATAAGCGAGCAGCCGAGTGGTGGGGCCAGCATTAGTCTTAAGTCAGTCCTCAACGTGCATTAGCGTACCGGCAGCAGATGGTGGGGCGGCAGAGTAGGTACGCAGTGATCTGGATCCTTGGCGGTACCTAGGTACTAGGTAGGACGTCCGCTGGAAACCGTCTGTTGATGACACTTGCGAGGATTCGAAGCTTTGGATGCGCCGTCTAAGTCCAACATATGCAGAGCCAAACCCAGAGAATTGCGGGCAATCGTACCCTCGTCTGCTAGTGGTATGCATCATGAGTATGGCGGCATCAGCAATCGTTAGCTGCCACCTCGTGGGGTGCGCAAGACGGCTTCCGCCCGGAGACGATCCGTTACCCACATTCTCATGTTTACCTAAATCCTTTCCGTGATGGCGCTGGACCAGGATACCCCTGGCTCGGAGCTTTTGGGTACATTGAAAGTTTGAGGCTTTGTTCGCCGTATCATCCTAGGTGGACGTTTTGGGTCAAAGCGCGCCACGGAGAAAAAGCGCACTAAGCCTTGTGTTGTGCAGACTGCTGCTCCCATGTCTGCAAGGGTCCCAATTTCTGACAACCAATCCTCATTACAGGCCGTCAAGCGAAATCAAGACTTCTCGAAGAAGCATAGTCTATAGACGTTGAGGCAAGGATCGACCATCGGCTAAATGCATGCCCCCTGCACTCCATGCTTCTCTTGAGACCCACCAGGCTGATCTTGCTGACGACCAATCAGCACCCCGTTTTTGGAATATGCGAACCGCAGCCCGTGGCACCGTACTCAAATGCCTTTTATTCAGATGTTAGGGTCGCGCTGGATGAAAGTCCAGTCGTAAATCCAGTTGCCCCTCGATCATGGCTGCAGCAGCTCCTTCTCGTCTGCTCTGCCATGCTTATATAGTTGTTCCCAGTCCCCTTCTTTCTCCGACATCTGAAAATCCATCTCGCCCAGCTTGACCTGCCTTTTGGTCTGCCACCCGTTTGCTTCCACAACCACAGAAGCTTCTCTCTTCGCCAAGCTCTGCGTATCTTCGTCCAGGCAAACTTCTTGAAGGACCATCCACCCCTCGCCAATCTTGCTGCAAGCACTGCCCCACAAGAGACGACGATGTTGCACGTCATCAACAGAATGCTGCCCGGCAACACGTCCCAGACCCCAGAGCCACCGCCCACATTCAACGCTTCTTCATCCACCATAACCTCCCTCAACTTCCAGCAAGGCTCGCAATGGGGCCCCAGCGGTATCGGCACGGTAGTCTTCGGCTGTGTTGCTTCGGTTCTCGGAATCCTTGCACTATGGATGATGTTCTGGCTTGGGCAGAGGGAACCTGCTCATGCCGTAAGACCTGGTATGCTCTTTGCCCTTTGCCCTTTGCTCTTTGCCCTTTGCCCTTTGCCCTTTCCCCTTTGCCCCTTGTTTCTGACGCTTGGCTAACAAGTGTGATCGGTAGATGAGAACATGGATCTACAGCATCGGCACGCAGACGCAGCGGCCTCGGATGACGACATGGCCCTTGGATATCTGCCTCATGATGGAGATGCGGACCCTGATGCGACGGAAGGGCATCGGACGGATGCGGGGGTTGACACGGAAGCATGAGGATGACGAGGGTGGCGGAGACCTTTGAACACGGGTCAAGATGAAGGAGGTTGTGAAAAGGTCAGGATGCGTGACACGTCGGGTTGAATATTCTAGTATTGGGACCTGCCCTCAGGCCATGTGGTCCTGTCATTTTAGAGCATGAATGATAGAAGCGGAAGATGCAGTGCTCATACAATAGGGGTAGAAGCAAGCAAGACATGAAAGACTTTTGTCGCTCTGTAAGAATTAAGTAAAGTGAGAAGGTCCACCAGGGACGGGAACTTATTATATAACAGTATTCAGGAGATGTCGTAGGAAATAGCGCCAGATGTCAGTGGCCTAGCTGCTTCGTTCGGCCTCGCTCAGCGATGGCGGTCATGTGGTCTCTGGGATCAATGGCGCCTCAGGTTCCTCTTCCTGACCAGGACATATGAACGGGAATTATTGAAGGGCCCGCCTGTAACGTAGAAGGAGTTAGTATTCATGCGTGGCAATGCGACCCCACAGCCTTGAAAGGTGCACTGATTACCTCTCACCACATGCATTCGCTTCCTGGTCGGCCGCATCAACGGCGCCTTTTCTCACTCCGTGTATGCCCCTCTTCACGCATAAAATACTGTATGTGATCGAGGTTAATATCCATGTCGGCCTCAGTGTCAATGTCGTAATGATCCTTGAGTTTGGTGCGTGAAGGCTGCTTTGTCGGTGTGGCAAGTAGTGAAGATGGGTCATTGCGACGAGGGAAGATGGTGACTGGGGTCAATGGCGATGCCGGGTAATTGAAACCTGAAGACGTGGGTTGGGTCGCAGCGATAGTGCGTGTCCTGTCCGCACTGGTATTCTGTTGGTGTCCAGATTGGCCCACGAGCGGCTTGGGGGATGAATAAGCATGCCAGTTCCCATCAGCCGTCAGGCTGCTTGAGACCGCCGTTTGGCCATCGCACGCATCCGAATGAGCAATGATTGAGCCATCACAGGGCACATGAGAAGGCAATTGTGGTGGCGCCCAGGCGTTGCTGCTACTTGAAGGAAGTCCAAGCTGCACGTCGCGCTCGGGCCGATCTGCCATCATCAATTCTCGCGACGAGTTATTCCGATATGCTGTAGGGTTGGCGTTTACCGCGCCTGGACTGAAATGGCTGGTTGCAATCGCACCCCATGCGGGATTCTGTGCTTGGAATGCGGTGTTCATCATCCCACCATTGTAGACTGAGCTTTGGTTCGGAGTAACGTGCATCTGTGCTAAGGTAGCTTGAGGCTGAATGATCGGCAGGTTATGATGGATGCTCAGATCCTGGTTGGAGAAGCCCGCAACAGCCATGGAATCAAGCTGGGTGTTTTGTATCCAGTCGTAGGTACTCTCGTTGAAAGCGGCTAATGCGAGATTGTTGGCCGTCTCTTCGCGTTTCTCTAATCTGAGTTGTAGACTCTTGGCCGTGGCGGGACTCCAGCGAAAGCCTGAACCAATGTATTGGGAATGTACTGCCAGTATGTTTCGCCATGACTCTTGGACCCCGGGTTGGAGCAGTAGACCCCGGATGACCTTATCGGAGTCCCACTCGCGGATATCTTGGTGTTTCTTATAGTGAGCACTGTCAATATGGTTCAATTGATCCGTATGTGAGTGGAAGCAAGTGATGCAGAATCCACAGGAGAAATATTTCTTGTCCAGTGTATCCCGCCATCCCTCGGCTAAAGCGGAGCCATCTGCAACGTCGTGAGTCTTGAGATGGCTGATGAGATGAGACTTCCTGGTGTAACTTCGGGTTACCAAGGTCTGGTTTGAGCAGCACGGTAGTATCTTGTGCGAGTCGTAGTGTCTTTCGTCTGGGTTCAAAACCCCACATAGCACACACTCTGGACCGTGTGCTGTATATCTCTCACGCCCCTGTGGCATGCATGGGTATCTCGTCTCATGCTCTTTCATATGTCTCTTCCATCCATCGCAGGTAGTAACACCCCGAGGATTTTCGCAGACAAAGCACCAATGGGTATGTGCGCCAGCGACAGGCAGTGAGGCAGTGGTCTCGTCGATCGAAGGCTCTCGAGAGAGATCAAGGAAAGTTCCTCTACTCCACGAACTGCGTTGTGTACTAGGACTGGTGCAACTGTCGTAAGGAGACACGGAGGGTCCGAAAGAGCTGGATGAGGACCTGGAAGTGTTTGAAGATCCTCGCCATGTATTGCGCGTCGATGTTACGGCGGCTCTCTGGACAGCGAGGTAGCTGCTATCATAGTAATTGTGAAGCGCATGGAAACTTCCTACGCCATGGCATTAGAGGATTGGCTTTATTTCTGACAGTGGGATGAATACTGACCGCTGCAGCGAACAGTATCAAGCCATACTGAAATGAGGTTATCGGTATAATCCTCCAACGCGGAAATTGCTTTTAGTTGCTGGGGCGAGAGGCAAGCAGGCTGGAACCAATTGTCGCCGCCCGGTCTGAAGGAACGAAACCCTGTGAGCCAGGCAAAGATGGTTTGGTTGTCATAGTCTTGAAGGGTTGAAAGAGCAGCTTGCTGAGCAGGCGAAGGGAAATCCGACGAGTTTTGTTCATTGCCAACTTCATCCCCACATGTGGTCGCCGATGCAGGTCGCTGATTGATCGTGTCCTGGTGCCCTCGGCGAGATTGCAGAGAATGTTGATAAGGGTGAGCGGGGCTGGCTAACGAGCTGCCTAATGAGGCATCGTGTTCTTGGAAGGAACGTGGGGGCGAAATTGGGGTGACGGAAGCATAATTCTCCATGTCCGATACTCAATGATCACTATTTCGAACGAGTGACAGACTTTGTGAAGCACCTCCAGGATGCAACGCAGTGCTAGAAATGAGTAAAAGAGACATAACGATGAATATATGTTCGCAGTGTGGATGACGGACGACGGTCATGTCAGCATGGTCTTTCTCGGAGGAAAATTGGCTTTCTTCGATCATCATCTTTTGGCTGCCACTAGGATTGTTTGGCAGGATGAAAATTACAGTCATTAGTGAGTTTCACATTGTGAAGCATACGACAGATTTCGCGCTTCCAGATCATAGGGTTTCTTGATGTTACTCGCATGAGCCACACACTATTGCAAGAAGCACACAATCCCGGTTCAAGAACGAAGATCCCAAAGCGGTCTCCAGCTGGAAGTTTATGTTGTGTACATGATCTCTCAGGGTTGATTTGTTGGGAGGTTGTCGCAATAATGGTGGTGAGTGGTGAGCCCTGCTCTTGTCCCTGGTCTACCGGAAGCTTGGCGGCCAATCCCTGTTGGCGGCGGCCACCTCGGGTATCTACATGAATAGATGGGGCGAACCTTCGCACGGGCTGCCCTGTCAAAGTTTGTTGGAATGACTTGCGGGTTGGGGGATACCACACAGCCGTGTCACGTACCTCGACATGTCGTCCACCCCCTAGCGAACATACAGATCTTTTCCTCTACCAGTACTTCACCGCTTGTTTCAATCCCTGTCTAGTGATAGATGGAGGTGGCCAATTCAATCTTCTAACTTTTGTTCCGAGTCTCGATTTCGACTCTATCTTCCGTGACTGTAAACTACCATCAGTATCATTTCTGTCACATGCGGTCTTGGATATTAATGCCAGCCCACCACAGTGCAATTTTTTGGGGAAGCTGCGCCAAGAAAGATTCACAAAGAAAACTTATCTTCATGTCGCTCATTTAAGGGAAGAGCTAAAGCCGCTGCCACGTGTCGTGCAAGGTTCAAAACGATGGCTGCCGAGCAGCGGGAAATTCAAATACACTCGTTCGGATCTGGCAGGCAAAACCTAGCTATCCTTGCACGCCCTGAGAGGACGAGGGATGAAGGATTGCGATCCCCGCGAAAATCATGGAGTTCTGTTGGACAAGGGCTCCTCGCAATCTAACGGTCAGCACTAAAACGGCTTGGAGCGCAGGACTTGGTATCCAAATTGGCCCCTCTCGCTCCATTGAGAAAGTCGAGAAAAATAGAAAAAATTCAAGCAGACCGCCTGATTTTGCGTCATTCCCGCTTAGAAGTAAATGCAGAGCAGCACATCCTGGAATCTCGCCGCTTGGGCCAGTAACACGTACGCGGCGTTGAGTAAACATACAAAATGACCATGGTCTGACTAGACTCTTTCTATACTTGAATAGCCATATTGGACTATTAGGATGAAAATAAGGCAGATCTAGGCACGAAACAGTGAGAATATTACCCTGGAACGAGTTGGGTAATATTTTTCCATCCTTGCTTGACTTGCCGGAATGACAAATCTCCTCACATTCACAGGGTACAGATTCTTCCACGTTGGTTGAACAATCTGCCCAAAGTGTAGGGATGGACTTGGTGCTGAACCGGGGGTGGTTTCGGGAACGCTATCAGCCGACATTGTAGGTAGCTGTACGTATTTTTGGTCTTCTAGAAGCCTTTCTGATTGGGTGGGCTGCACGATCCCTGTTCGCAGCGCCCAGTTTATGATGCACCACACCGCAACACCAAGTTCACCAACAGTTTTACAGACATGGTTGGGCGTTGCCTCTAATTGGACTCCAACTTCTCTGACCTTATCCGGAACCTTGACTCGATTGTTTGGAAGGATTTTATAAACGTCGATACCTTAGTGGTCCGTAGCGGAGCCTCACTTTCCCCCACCACACCATCCTCGGGAATAATGGGGTGGTCCACTTTCACCACTTTTGAGGACCCAGAGTGGCGGTAGGATTCTCTCTTGCGACGAGACAGCCCACTGTTTTCGGTAGCTGCCAACTGACAGCGAAATAGCACGCTTGCTTGTAGTTGCCACCTGTTTGCTGTTGCAATTTTAACTTAGTTGTGAAAATTTCGATGCGGAACCCGAGATGCATACTCACTACTCAGCCGAGGGTCATTTGTTGTTAGAGCCGCAACCCTCGGCTGGTCGATTATCATTCAATGGCGAGACGGCCTGCTGTCAAGGATCTCGCCAGAGGGCACAGAGTGCTGGACGTTGACGATGAAAAATGCTAAACTTACGGACTTGAATGCTTGTTAGTCAGTGGGGAAGGCGCTGCCGAGCGTTGTTATACTGTCAAGAACACCAAGGTCTGCGCGGATGCCTGGGCATACCCATCGTGGTAATCGAGGGAAACAGACGTGAAATGGTGGTATGCTGACTGGGCTGGCGGTACCCATGATTGTGTGAAGAAGATAGAAAATAGATTGTTAATGACCTCACTCAGCCCTACACTACTCGTATCTACCGGGGTATGGAATCTTCAAAATCCGGTAAATCCGGGGGTGGGGATACCGGGGGATACTCCCCGGAAAACTTCAATCCCAACCCACCCTGAACCGAAAATCTGGCGAGTTCCCCCACCCCGTTACGCGGCGTGGGCCCGAAGATTGCGGGCAGACTTTATTATACTACGATATAACTTTATCAGTATGCGACGTCGGACTCGTTTTATCTGGGTTATTGTCGAAGACTGTCAGTATATCGTTACAGTCATTCGAACGGTCATATCGGACATTGCTCACCGCCATCCAAGGCTATCTCTAGACATCATCATGCATAGATCTATTCGCTCGCATTCCACCCGGTGCGCCCTCATCATCGTGAATCCGTCGGTGTACATGTTCGAGATTGAAGCCTCGCGACGCCATCCCATCTTCATCAGATCTCTTCTGATATGCTCTCCTCCTCGTCTTATCTGTCGAAGAGCTCTCGCGAGCAACGGCCTCGGCGGGCGAGGATGCAGAGTCCCTCGGGCGTTTGAGGGTAGAACCAGTAGGTCCAAGTGCAGTATGCGGTTGAGGATTTGCAGACCAGTCAGACATCTCGTTACTCTTGTAATGGAACATTTTCTGGTCGCTGAAGGCAGGACTAGGGGTGATGTTGTAGCCATTCCAAGGGCCGTAGATTGACGGGTCGGCTGGGTAGAAAGTGTTGTCGTTGAACGGTGTCGTCGGCTGCGTGCTGTCCTTATCATCAGTATCCGAAGGTATTGGCTTCCATGCTGGACTGTGATCGAGCGCAGGGACAGTGTTGAAATTCGACGTATGGGCTCCATAGGAACTTTGATTCTCCAAAGTAGGTGCACTTGTAGAGATCTCAGGGGCTTGGTATTGTGGTGACGACCAGGGTGGGTACTGCACTGGTGTTTCACCTGATGCGACTGCGTGACCTTCAAATGGAGCCGAAAAGCCCTGACTGGTATGCTGATATGGTACTAGTAGGGTGTTCATGGTGGTAGCGGAAGCCATGGCATCATGTTGGGCGGGACACCACTCGTACTCGGCACTGTCATATGCCGCCTTGGCCAGAGATTGTGGGGTCTCTTTGCCCGCGACACCCATTTCGAGTCTGTACTGTAAGCCCTCACATCCAAGCTTATTCCATTTGGTTACTGAGGAGCGAAAGGGATCAAATGACTCCAGAAGACGTTGCCAAGCTCCTTGAATCTCGGGCTGGAGAAGAAGGCCTTGTATCACCATGGTGAAATCCCAGTCATTGATGCTTTGTCCGTTCTCGAAGTGTTTGGCGCCGATATGTTTGAGACGATCCTGAAGAGACGAGAATAGGTGAATACAAAAGCCACACGACCACGCGTTCTTAGAGGATTCGCATCGCCATTTTTCCGCAACGCAAATTCCATCCGTTGTACCGTGAACATCTTTTAGATGCCATACCATCTCATACCTTCTCTTGAATGAAGGACGGTCCTCTGCGATGACACATGGTGCAATGTTGTGTACCAGGTGATGGCTGTCGTCTTGATTGAGAGCACCACACAAAACGCACCTCCAACCGTCTTCTGTGATTTCGAAAAGTCCTTTAAGCATGCATACATACTTAGTCTCGTGTTCCTTCTCATGTTTCTTCCAGCCGTCGCTGTGTTGAAAGGAGTGATTGTCACAGACAGTGCACCAGTATGTGTGGTCTGTTTCCGTTGGCTTGACCAGTGCAAGTGTGCTATTTGTAGCAGCTCTTGAAAATGTCTGGCCTGGATCCAGGTGATTCTGGGCAGCTGCCAAGGCACTGTGTGGAATTTTGCTTAGGTGCGGAGATATCGCTTTGACCGGTTTGACAAGCGACCGGTGACTAGACGTATGGTCAGATCTGGGCGACGGTCGTCGGGTCTGGCGTGACGAGGCGGCAGCTGCAAACCTAGAGGCCGGAAGACCAAGGCTTGGTGGAGATGCTTGGTTTGCTATCAATGCTGTCAGTCGCGTAACATTCTTGGGACATTTGGCAAATAAGTACATGACTCGAGCCACTGTAAGAGGCATTCACGCGAGCAATATCTCAGAGTCGAAATTGCATGGATGACTTGGATCGGAAGACCGCCGGGGCCGTCCCGGTGTCTCAAGCCTGGCTCAGTTGATTGAGAAAGCCTATGCCACGCAATGATATCGCTGTTGTGATGGTCTTTCAATGTCGCGAGAGCTTTTTCTTGTTCTGGAGTGGGGTCGCGAGAAGAAGTATTCCTTATCAATGAATCCTTCGGGAAAACGAAGGTGGGTGGAGAATTGACCAAAGAGGAAGAAGATGTGTTCTGGACCGTTGCTGTGCTTAGTGGCTGCAGATGGGCGTCGGACCTCACAAACTCCGAGGCTGGAGTACCCATCCTTTTTGACCAGACATTGAAGGATGAAAGCGAAAGAATAGCAGCACCAGATGTTATTTAAATTCGAAAAGAGTGGGCAACGAATGAAATGAAAAATTCCGAAAGAAAATTGAAAAGACTAACTACTCATCTCATGTCTCAAACATTTTCCTCTGTCCGTCATACCGTTGAACAGCCATTAGAAACCCTGGCTGCCAGATCCACCGCTAACTTATCATAGCTTTACCTCGCTAACTTAACTTTGGTCCGGTCGCGGGCGCTCCCAAAGTTTCCGTGGTCGGAGAAGGCGGTGTCCTAGAACTCCAGAACAAAGAATGCTTGGGCGCAAGTATTGCTTCAAGTTGATGGGATAGCTCGGGAACCTCGTCTGTCTTCATAGCCCTAAATTTACAGCTTTCGCAGCTTGACTACTCCCTTTTTTTTCAGATGCATCGCGTCTTTGGGCAGCAGCAGAATGGATCGATGATGCAACATATCAGTACCTGCAGCAGATCCTCGCGTTAGATCTGACTGTGGGGGTTCATACCTGCTGGTCTTCCAGGCGGGTCAGGAAATGCCGGCGACTCGGGAGCGCTTTCCTGCAGAATAGCCAAGCAGAGTGGGCCATGTTCTCTGCAATGATCCGCTGCCTCAAAGAACCGAAAGACAAATGCTTGCATTAGCGCATGTTACTCTGCCTCTTGTTTGCATGATGCCCAAAGCCTAAGGTAATAGCCGGATTCTAATGCCGCTGGACCATAGAAACCTTGGCGTTCTGAGAGAAAAAGCGACAGCCTCTTAGCATCGGACCGTATGTGAGCCAGATAAAAGGGCGAATTTTTTGCGCGAGCGATAAGAGGAGGAAGAAGCGAGGCGGTAAACGACGAGTCCACCGAAACCCATTGGTAGAAATTCCATGAGGGGTAGCGAGTTGCGGTCAAGATTTGTAGGCGTTATTTTGGGCTGCCAAGGCTGTCACCAGTCAACCACATTAAGTATTGTACATTTCCACCCTCAAACATCGTACAGACCCTGCTTTTACATTCGAGACCATCTCCATACACCCCTAAGAGTTGTATTTAGCTGACAACGCTGTTTAGAAAAGATGACCGACCTACAAATTCCCCGGTTTCGTTTCGATTTTCAGGCTTGCCGTCCGAGGATTAGTTCCCCCCCGAAAATATTTAGAAAGGTGTGGAGGGGTTGTCTGGGGTACCCCCCCTCCTAGCGATATGAAGAGACGACCAGAGACGCGCTGATTAACATCCCAGATCCCGGGCCAGCGATTCGCCCAGCAACTCCATTTCACTTTCTGACCGGTTTTCAACGCTCCAGTCTCCCTTGGACTCCAAATTCCGCTTGTGTGACTATCTTGTACTAGGATGTAAACGCAAGCTCGGAGAACATTTCCTGCTGGAAGGAGGTTTAGGGAGCCGAAGAGTGGTACATAAGATGTTGCACAACCAGTCCACGTACCCACGGCCAACGTCGTCACCGCCAAAGCGACGGCCAACGACACACGGAAAACTCTGTTCGTCCAAAGGGCCACTGAACGTAAATGCGTTCTCTGCTCTTTCCGTTCTTCTCCTTTTTGTTTTCAAAGCATCCAGCTTGAACCCTCAATCTTCAAAGTACAATTTTCTCCACCGTGGGAAAACCGCTTCTTTTCAACGCCTCCATCTCTCCCATCCCTGATACTTAGTACCCATGATGAACATCCCAAGTCGTCATTTTTAAGATACTGGTTGTCGTAAGTTACGCCTCACGCCACCCACCGAGCTAAATACCGAATCATATCCCAAAACTATGAATCCTTACTGATTCATACCCCTACATCAAAGTTTAAGGCATGATTTAGTAGTTTACCATTACTTAGGGTATAATTTGATAATTTGTTATTTATGGTAAAATCGTAAAGAAGAGGAGAGGATCCGCGACCTAGGTTATCCGATTATAGAACTAAAAAGATTTCTCCGATCGCATTTAATACGTAATCTATCAGCTTAGATATGTTAGACGAAAGTCGAGTAAGCTAAATTTAGCCTCTTAGTCTATCTATACCTAGCCTACGAGTATAGCTCTCATATATACTTCTAATTTCACTTTTAATAGTCTATATAGATATAGATATTTAAATTTTACTCTTAATAAATAATATAGATATAAACACCTAGCTATAGTGCATCTATTTATTCTATAAGTAGACTATTCAAGTAGATCACCATGACAAGTTTAATAAATTATCGAATCATACTCTAAGCAATGGCGAATTATCGAATTATATCCCTAGGGGTTATGATTCAGTTATTGGAAAGCTTGCTTTCTCATTACTCAAGAATAAAATCACTTCTGTGCCAAGCCTCGCTGTGAGATCATTCTGGGAAACTCTTACCTTATTGGGAAGTAACTAAGGATTTAGTAGATCTTGGCTAAGAACATCAATTTCTTCTCTGATTTTCTCTATTTCTTGTCTCAATTAATTTTAGATTTTGGCCTCGCATCCTCTGCAGCTCGACGTACTGTAAATCGGTATTAAAAGAATTATCAAAAACAAAATACCGAGCGCGCTCTCTTATAGTTACACTCTTAAAATCAGCTACGATCTTAGAGAAAAGCTTAAAGTCGATAGTAACGTCGATTACCTTCGTGCGATATCGCATTATAATCTCAACCTCAGCCTACGATATCTCAAAATCTTCTCTAAACTACTCTCGAAGGTATTAATTCTATACGTATTATCGAGACGTAAATAAATATCTTTAAGCTCGGTACTTCAGACCCCGATATCAAACGCCCTATATTCGATGTTTATAATATATATCTACGAAAAAATCAAGGTCTCGGCGCTCTGAAACGCGCTTACGGAAAAGTCGAAATAAGTCGTTTTTATCTTCAACGAGAGGTTGCCGAGGATTTATATAATGATCTCGTATATTAAATACGTCTTTAAGAAGAGCGATTCTTATAAGAGTCTATTAGTATCGAATTATAAGACGCCTTAGATTACGTATTTTATATTATGGAAGATTAGTATATAGCGGCCGGTTAGCCTCAAATTAAGGATAAACTTAAGACTTTGTTATGTACGGCGATTCGATATAGAGATCTTAAGGCTATTTATAAGCAACTTCGGTTTATAATTAATAATCGTTGTAAGGAATTTCTTTAGGGGGATTATAGTTATGATCTTGACGAAGCGGACGACCTTATACCGATCTCAAAATGGGCTTTATGTAAATAATTTCGAGCTTGCGAGGACGGCCCCTCCGGCAGGAGCCCCGGAGGAGTCGGAGAGCCCCCGGAGGGTAGGGGGTTTAGGGGGTCTCCCTTAATAGAATTGGTATTATGCAGTAGTAATCTTCTCAGTCTTCTCAGTCTTCTCAGTCTTCTCAGTCTTCTCACATCCTCGGCAAGTTTTCCACTACTGGGTAGCCCCGCGCCCCAGCACATATTTAGGGGTATGGTTCGGTAAGGATTTATAGTTTTAGGGTATGATTTAGTAATTAGCCCGCCACCCACCCGCTCGCCATGTCCTCGAACCTGACCCCGAAAGCATGCGCGGGAACCACTCAGTCACTGGCTCTCAACACGTCGCCGCCGTTCATCAAGATACTCACTCGACCCCTCCTACGCGCACGAAGCGTTCACGAACCAATCAGACTCCAGCAAACCCGACAACAGCACCAAGACCACCACCGCTCTTCCCATCCAGCACCCATCTCCGACCATACCCTCCTAAATCCCGGCTCTCGAGAACACCATCCCCCCATCTTTCGCACCATCATTCTCCTCACACTCTCTAACGTCAACATTGCATCGAAGATCCACAGTCAGTGGCCAACCCTGCCTTTGAGCAACCTGGGCTTGATACAACGGTCATCGCTTCACAGCCCTCCAGGTCAGACAGCATCCTTGGAGACATCATGATCAGCCTGCCGATCGTGGCTGGCCGGCGTAGAAGAATTGCAAACATGCGTTCTGTATAGGGTAAGCGATCACCTTGCGGAGATAGTTTTGAAGATCGATGGGCGCCTAGAAGTAGAAGATCGACGACTCTCCGAGTCTAGAGTTTCCACTCTGGACAACCAGCCTCTTGCACTTCTTGCTCCATATTGTCCCGTTCCTCCAGTTTCGGATCCTCGGCCGCGTGGTTGGGAAGCGGAAGATAACCGTTGACGTCGTCGTGGGTCCCCATGCACGAGTTCTGCCATAGTTGGTGTCATGTTTCGTGCGCCTCATACCTGCCTTTGACGTATCGCATCCAGATATAGGTGTCATGTAACGCAGGGTCTGCAGTCACGACTTGTGTCTTGTGGACACGTTCGCAGTCCTTGATAGATGACGCAGAGACCCTAATCCCACATTCCGCTGTCCGGCAAAGCGATCCATCCGGTGAGAGCTATCCTCTATTCGCATAACCCAAAGAACGACGATATATCTATATGGCATACTATCGGTGTAGTAACAAACAACCGTCATCGTGCCCACAGATCTTGGCGCTGGAACACTTAAACCGATATCACTTTATCACCTACTTTGATACTTTAAGGTCGGCAGGGGGGTTTTACTAATCATACCTGGAGAGTCTTAGCAAAATTGTAGGCGGGGAATATTTCGACCCGCATTGACAAGGCTTAGGGTATAAGTAGCTATAGTGTAAAATAATATCGTATTTTACAGAGATCCTAGGAGTATTTTTAAAAATTAGAAGAATTTTCGCTCAGGATATCCCTAAATCAGGAGATCTTCTCAGTCCTACCACTAATGACTAAGCCGTATTTTACACTTTGACGTAATACTGCTTTACAGCCTACACCCCATCCCATCACACCCCATCCCCTCACACCCCGTCCCATCACACCCCGTCCCATCACATCCCACCACCCCCCGTAAGACCTCGAGAATATCATTCCTGCGAGAACTTTAGCTAAATCGCTTGAATCTGAAGTCAGAAATTAAAAAGCGTGGATGTAATTTACAGTAGCCAGATCCCGAAAACGAGGCTTGGCATTCGTATTTAC